TATCCACCCTAGATGACTATCTAGACCTTCAAAATGACTCAATTTCGGATTGGTCATTTGAAAATAAATTACATTTTAATCTTTCCAAATGCAAGGTTATTACATTCAGTAACATTCGTAATCCTCAAAATTTTATCTACACAATGCAAGGATCAACACTAGAAAGAGTGTCAAAAATGACCGACTTGGGAATAGTTTTTCAAAATAATTTCAAATTTGACGAGCATATCCATAACATTACCAAAGAAGCTAACAAATTGTTAGGTTTTTTGAAACGCACGACTAGGGACTTTACAGACACACACTCGATTAAAAATGTATTTTTTGCTCTCGTTCGTAGTAAATTAGAATATGCATCCACTGTATGGGACCCTACACAACAAAATTTAAAACACATTTTGGATACTATTCAAAATAAATTTGTCAAATATTTATACTTTAAAAAGTATCATACAAGTCCAGGATTTGTTTCATTTGGACCTATTAGAAAAGAGTTTGAAATTGAAAAATTGGAATATAGACGCTCTATAATCAACCTTGTCTTTTTACATAAATTATTAAATGGATATTTGGACAGTCAATATTTATTGAGTCAAATAAAAATTAATGTTCCAATAGCAGGTATTCGTCCACGTCAATTAACTTTTCGTGTGGATAATCATGGTCTAGTAGAAAAAATTTGTCTTTTGTTTAATGTACACTCCGAAGGCATTTCTTGCGGTATTTTTGATGTAGCTATAAGCACATATAGAAAGGAACTTAACAAAATTGTTGGGCTCGATTAAAGAGACATAACCTTGTAGGATTTCCATGGCCTTGGTGTGGGGTTTTGCAGACGCTCTGATTATTCCTGAATATATCTGATTATTTCAGTAAATTTGTTCTTTAACGAACTTTGTTAAAATTTTGTAGTAGCGAGGTTGGTTTATTATAATTTCACTTATATATTTAATTAGATATTATGTATTTTTGTTGATTTCTATTTTCGCTGTATTTATAGGAACATGTAATTAGGCTCATGCCTGTTTGTTTCTGGAATAAATAAATAAATAATAATACCGTTTAGTTTTTCGTTCCCGTATTGATAACATAATTAATTGCAAAAATTGATTTTTCAATTAAGACACTTATTACTTTACTTTCTTTATCCCATTTTTTTAAACGAATATACTTGAAATTAATATTTATCGATTATAATTTTTTTCACGTGGACATTTTAACATGCTTGTTAATAAAAAACAGTACAAAAAAGATGGCTGATACTGACGCATGCGCACAAAAAAAATTGTGATGAAAAAACCTATTACAATTTTTGTAACTTTTATTATTATTTAATTTAATATTATATTCACTAATAGGTATTTGTTGAATTCAAATACGTTCAGATGTATGATTAAACCAAAAAAATAAAGCAACTAATTTATAATATTTTTGAATATTGATATTGTTCTTGATTTTTAAAATTAAAATGTCAAATTTAATAAAGAAGTGTCAATCATCCATAGCCAACTTAGTTGGATCGTTAGGAACTTAAATAATTTTCGTCAACAGGTAATAAGATTTCACAATAATTTTTATTAATATAATATTTAAACTGGATTGAAATAACTATAAAAATATATGACTAAATTGAAAAAAATTAAATTAAATATTTAATATACTCATTATTATTTTTATAAGAACTGTCAATACTAAAACTTGTTGCTCTGTGGTCAATACACTCAAATCTGACAATTTTCTTTACGCACTCAGCGCGTAAATAAAAACTCTTTATGCACTAGTGCGTGAAGTAAAGTTTTACGAACTCTGTAGCGTGTAAAATGATAGTACTTTAAGAACGGTAAGAGAAAAACTCTTTTATTAAATGAAGACCATAAATAATACAGTGATGTATAATACTTCTCATACAACAACAAAATAAATTCATTAAAAACATGTAAAACCAAGAAATCTGACTATGGACGTTCAATCAAGATGTGACTGATTCTAAATTTAGTTTTATATGCCTTAATCAATAATGTTGAAAGTGTTTTATAGATAATGTTTTTTTGAAATTATAAACATTGTTACTGCATTTACAAAAACTTTCATAAGATGATGATGGTGGGTGAGGTTTTCCGGGTTTTCCTCACCTGTAAGTCAAATGGCACCATCAATCATCTTTAAGTCGCCCCGGAGCGCCACGGCAAATAATAATATCCGTCCCTTCCCCTACACAAGTCGTTCAGGGGTTGAAATTCACTCGTAAGGGGGTGAATTAGGGAGAGTATTATTATTA